CGTCCTTGGCCGAGATGGTACTCGGGAGGGAAGTGTTTACTCATCCTTGGCCGAGCGAGGTTGCTCGGGAGGGAATTGATTACTCAACCTTGGCCGAGCGAGGTTGCTCGGGAGGGAATTGAATTTTCGTCCTTGGCCGAGATGGTACTCGGGAGGGAAGTGTTTACTCATCCTTGGCCGAGCGAGGTTGCTCGGGAGGGAATTGATTACTCAACCTTGGCCGAGCGGGGTTGCTCGGGAGGGAATTGAATTTTCGTCCTTGGCCGAGATGGTACTCGGGAGGGATTGATATGTCAACCTTGGCCGAACGAGAGTGTTCGGGAGGGGACTATATGCGGTTTGAAATAGAATGTTGACAAAAGATTGTTTCATTGATATGGAGCCTCATTAAAAACCTTTCGCCAGTAAAACCTCCTTTATATTTTTATAGGAGGAAAAAACCTGAGAAAGGAAAAGAGTGCTCCGAAACAGATTACATGGGATCCTTAGCTAAAGTAATGCTTTAAATGAGTTGCATTCCAGGTGCGTGGTATGGTTTTCCCATTGAGCTCTTCTAGTTTGTACGCTCCATTTTGCAAGTTATGTTTTATCCGATAAGGTCCATCCCAATTGGGTGCTAGCTTCCCCTGAGTCTTATCCTTGCGTGCTTCGCCCGTGACTCGCCATACTAGATCCCCTGCTTGAAACTGACGAGGTTTCACCTTGGTTTGGACTTTCCTGGCTGCCCTGGTTCGGCAAGCTTCCATATTGATGAGGGCGCGCTCGCGTGTTTCGTCCACCAAGTCTAGTTCTATGCTGAGGGCTTCCCCGTTAGTGGCTTCACTGAATTGTTGTCGGCGTAGTGATGGTTCCCCAACTTCCACAGGAATCATGGCATCGGTTCCGTAAGCCAACCGAAACGGGGTTTCCTTGGTGGAGCTTTGCGGAGTACAACGGTACGCCCACAAAATTTCTGGTAGGTGATCTGGCCATGAACCTTTGGACGAGGCCAACCGCCGCTTCAGTTCT